CGTATGAGATTTCCCATTACAAGTTATCCTTTGGCTGAGGAGCTTTGGACTGATTCCTTCACTCTACACTGCTCTATCTGCACCCTGCAGATCGGGGCCCCGGTCATGGCAGCTACTGACTGTTTTTTCAGATCAGAAAGTGTCTGGCATCACAATTCTGTATATGTAAGTAGAACTTTGAGAGTTTAGATGAAGAAATGCGTTTATACGTTGTATGAGCCATCGACCTCTCCAAGTAATACATCTCCTTCCTTAGTCCTGAATTGTTTTTTAAAATGACAAATTTATCCTCTAGTATATTTCTTATCTCCAACCAGATGGACAATTTTTTTGAGAGATCTCTTGGCAGTGACATTGGAGGGGAACAGAGTGCTGAATTTGTGCAATGGAAAAATGATAACTCAGCAGGTTCTACTGAAATGCCATTTACCTCCTGTTTCCAAGCAATTCAGGTAATATTCTGTCTTTTCAAGAGCAAGTTTATTTGAGATTGTAAAATTATTGAAAATTTCATTTTAATTGGCTGAGATTACAGTTGAGAGTGAAAGCATAACATTAATGCTGAAGGGCAAAAATCTCTTAGAATAGCTTAGAATGCACTTCTCATCCCTCTCGATGAGACTTGGCGGTGAAACTCAGGGACTTTAGCTCATGGTGGATCACGGTGATTCCTGCACTGCAGAGCTTTGAGGCCTGAGTCCCAATCTGCTCCGAGATCCCAGGCAGGTTACTTATTCTCATCTATAGAATGAAGACAATAACACCTACTTCATGAGGTTGGTGTTGATAAAAATGTCATGTATAGAGCACCAAGGCTGGCCCAATGTCCTTCCTCATTAAGTTTTAGTGAGTCTCTCCCTGCCCCAAGCTGGAAGAATAGTTATGGTCAGATGAGACTTCTAGGTTACAAGGTTATGATTTATTTCTGAGTAAGGAAGAATTGATGATGGCAAGAACATGGTAGTAATCTCTTTAAAGAAACAGACCAATGCAGAAACCACATGACACATTTGACTTTATTTTGATGATTTTAAAAGCACTCTTGATTTTGTAATACCCAGCCAAATTCTCCTTCTTTCACTCTTCAAGATGGGCTGCCACTTTCTTTGGATAATCTAAGGCAGTGTTTCTGGTATATAAAAACTCTGAAGATATCTGGAAGCCAGTTCTCCAAACTGTGACTTCACAAAGCCTGGCTGCCTTCACCATATTTTTTTTAGTTGTAACCTGGGAAATAGAGTAAAGTGGAAAAGGCTCTAGAATTGGAATCATGCCTTTGGGGACGTTCTTTCAGATCCCTACTTAGATGTTACCCCTCTTTGGGGCGGTGGCCTACATCAGCTGTCCTGAGGCTTGCCTTTTCCCAGTGATGTGTTGTGAGGAACTGAAGTTCTTAATTTTCATTTGGTCCAGTTTAGCATCAGAAACGTCCAAAATGCCTGGGAATAAATCTAGCAAGATGTGTGTGTGTGTATGAGTGTGTGTGTGTGTGTCCTCTTGAGAAATGACTATCGCAAGTTCGTATATTCTTATATGATCTTCTAACAGCGTTCTTGTTTTGCTTTCACAGTTAAGTCTACAGTCCATCTGGTATAATTTTTGTTTAGGTTTAAGGCAGGAATCAACTTCAGTTTTTTTTCCATATGTGTTCCCAAATGTCCCAGAACAATTTACTGAAAGTTTCCTCCTTTCACTCCCAACTTTGAAGGGCCACACTTGTCATAAATATGATGATCATGTGATTTATTATCCAAATCGATTAAATTTTGAGAGTAAAAGAGGGCGTTGCTAATAATTGCAATAGGACAAAAGGCATAAACAGGCTGTTTTGAGCAAACTGGGGTGATGGTCACTCATCATAAAGCAAGGTTCATATTGTGTGAGGCTATTATTTCTAGGCTTTCTGTTTTGTTCCATTTCTGACCATCCTTGTACCAAAACCCGTCCTTATTTCTGCAACTTTAGAATAAGTCTTGATTCAATTAAACATGTCCTCTCACCTGGTTATTCTTCAAGATTGTCTTGGATGTTCTTGGCCTTTTACATTGTTGTATAAATAGTAGAACCATTTGCCATGTTTCACCAAAAACAAAACAAAACAAAAAACTTTTGGGTTTTTTATTGAGATTGCATTGATTCTGTAGATCAATTGACATATTTAAAATACTGAATCATAACCATGGTATAGCTCTCCATTTATCTAGATCTTCTTTGTTATCTGTCAATAGTGTTTTTGAGGGCTTGTTATTGGGTACATACAAATTTCGAATTGTTATATTTTCCTAGTGAGCTGCATCTTTTTATCATTATGAAGTGTCTGTCTTTATCTCTAGAATAGGAGAACCTACTTTGCCTAATATTTCTAGCCACATCTACTTTTAGGGTTAGAATTTGCATGGAATTTTTTCTATTCTTTTCCTTTCAAACTGTTTTTATGTTATAGACACATTTCCTGTAAACACCATATGGTATTTTTTCAATCCAGCCTAACCATCTTTGTCTTTTAACTGGAACATTTAGTCAACTTATATTTTAAGTAATTACTTAAATATTTGGAGTTAATATACCATCTTGCTATTTGTCATGCCTGTTCTATGTATCTCTTTCTCATTCTACCTTTTGGATTGATTGTATAGTTTTTGTTATTCCTTTTTTCTCTTTGGTTTATTTTGAAAGTTATAAACCATTTTACTTTTCTTCTGGTGGTCACCTTAGACATTATAACATGCATCCTTGACTTATCAAAGTCTAATGTAATTGTAACTGTATTTTCATTCTCTTCCCAGATAATGTAAAGACTTTACAACTTTTACTCCCATTTCCTTCCCCAACTTCTATGCTATCATTTATTTTAATTCTGTATGTATTTGAAGTTCTTTAGACATTATTACTATTGTTTTATATGGTCAATATTTATGTAAATTTACCATATTTACAGTTTTTCTTGCTCTTTATTCTTTCTTACAACTCTGACATTTCTTCTGCAAAAAGAATATCCTCTAGAACTTTTTTTTGTAAGTCTGCTGATGGTGAACTCTCACAGTTTTTCTTTTTCTAATAATATCTTGAGGGATATTTTTCCTGGGTATAGAATAATTCTAGGTTGGCAGGGTGTTTTGCTGTTGTTTTTCCCAGCATATTTAAAGAATCATTCCATGATCTTCTGGCTGTCATAATTTCTGTTGACATATGTGTTATCCTTCTAACTGCTGCTCCTTTGAGGGTACTTTGTCTTTTTTCTTCATTTTTATGTGATTTCTTTTCTGGTCATGTGTTAGTCTCTGGACTTCTACAGTCTTACCAGGATGTGTCTAGAGATGGACTTCTTTGTAGTATCCTGCTTAGGGTTTGGGTAGGGTTTCTAGAATGTGTGAATTAATGTCTTTTATCAGTTATTAGATTACACATTTTGAATGTTAGCTCTTTAAATATTATTCTTCCCCATACTGTCTCTTGTCTTCTCTTTTCCTGTTAAGCATCTTCTTACTGACTCCTTTGAATTTCTTATCCTTCCTTTTGTATTATTCATCCTTTTGTCTTTCTGGGCTTTATTTATAATGTTTGTCTTTCTGGAAGAAATTATGGATAATTTCTTCTAACCTGACAATTCACAACTTTCTCTTTTGCTCTCTCTAATTTACTGCTAAATCTTATATAATTTTTCATTTATTATTGTATTTTTGAGCTCTGGAATTTCTTTTTTTTTTCTTTTTTTTTTTGTGAGGAAGATCAGCCCTGAGCTAACATCCATGCTAATCCTCCTCTTTTTGCTGAGGAAGACCGGCTCTGAGCTAATATCTATTGCCAATCCTCCTCCTTTTTTTTCCCCCAGAGCCCCAGTAGATAGTTGTATGTCATAGCTGCACATCCTTCTAGTTGCTGTATGTGGGACACGGCCTCAGCATTGCCAGAGAAGTGGTGCGTCAGTGCGTGCCCAAGATCTGAACCCTGGTGGCCAGTAGTGGAGCGCGTGCACTTAACCGCTAAGCCACGGGGCTGGCCCAAGAATTTCTATTTAATTTTTATTCAAATACGCAATGTCTTTTAAGTTTCCAGTTATCTGCTTAAAATGTATTTTGTCATCTTGATCATAGAAAACAATGTTGTTTCATAAATTGTCTGTGATGATTTCAGTATTTGGAGCCCCTGTTCTGTTTCTATTATCTGTTTTTTGTGCTGGTTTTAATTTATGTTGTCATGGAGCCTCACCCATCTGGTTATCTTTGACTATATGCTAGAGATTGTATTTTAAAGCTGATTATAAAAATAATTTGAGCTTTATGGGTAATCTTGTCCCAAAGATGATTTTTGTTTGCTTCTGCTATGTGCCTCTGGGTAGTAGCAAACCAGGAAGAATGCACTCCAATTCCAGGGACTGGAATTTTCCGGGCTGTCCAATGACTTATAGCAGGTCTGCATTCTGAGCTGGTTCACTCTTCCTCGCAGGGTGTAGCTCTTAGGGTGCCAAACAAAAGCACGGGAGGTATAATGGAGTCCCCACTCTTACGAGGCCCAAACTGTCTACCTAGCCTTGAACATTATCAGAATCCCGCTTCTCTTCTTTTGCCTCTTTTGGATTGGGAAATGCCCCTGGGGCAAAAGTGGCCCTAATTCCCATATTCATCAATTTCTCCTGGATCTTGGTCCATTAATTCATCACAATCATGTCAGCTCTCCCTTGCCTTTGAGATGATGCTTATTTTGTTTGATTGGTTTTTTAGTTGTCTTAAGAATTCTGAGTTACCTAGTTCACCATCACAAGAATTAGACATTCTTGTTCTTCCTATAGCTAAGAGAACCTGGAATATGGTTAGTGCTAGTAAGTATTTTAAGAAAAAAGAAGGAAGGAAAGCTTGCCAACAGGAGATTTGCTAACATTCTGTTTTTATTCTGTGGTCTCACTCACTACCATCATGGACGTCAGTATTGTCAGGCCAAGAACCCCCTCATGTAGTTTTGGCTTGTCTGAGATAAGAGAGAATCAAGAAGATGGAGATCAGTCTGGCTTGCAAAACCTTAGGAAACTTTATTAACCAGCCCACCAGCTTTGTGGGAGCAAGAAAATGCAGCATTTCAAGCCCCATTCAAGGAGTACATTTGACAAAGGTTTATATTAATCAAAGAACCCCCCATCTCCCACCACAGCATTGCATAAAGCCATCGCATTGGCGTGATAACCTATACCAGACAATGGAAGGCAAGAGCCTTTATCAGAAAATGTGCAAGAAGCTGGATAACAGTGAGATCTTTGTGAACCCTCTTTGCTTAACAGTCTCTCCTACCACATTTTTCTTTTTGTGATTTCTTGGTATCTTTTATGATAGGACACCCACTTTTTAACACCATGTGATCCCACACAAACTACATGTCAGGTAGGATAAAGGAAAACAAAAAAGAGAAGGCAGGTTATCACCAGGTCGCTCTTTAATTTAATAGTTTGAAACTGGAGTGCTGTATTAGAATACTAATCCTGCAGAACAAAGGGTTAGAAACGTTGGCCAAGGCAAGTTTGTCTTCATAACCCGGGCCTTAACTGGGGTGCTCTCCTACATTTCAATTGAATATCTGTTTTTAAGCCTTCCTTCAACAATCAGAGTGTCTCTCTATTATAGCTTCCAAAAATCTATCTGTAAAATAAATTACAGTATTCTAATGTTTCCCACCACTATCAAGAGAGTATAGCAGTTTCATAGATTACTACATTGTCAAGAATCTATAAATCTGATTTATTGTTTTTATTTTTTAACTTGATGCATCCAAAAGCAATAACTGGATTTTTTAAGTATAAAAAAGGAAAATAGATACCCATGCCAAAGTTAATGGGTGTAAATAGCCAACAGAGCTGAACTTACAAAGGAAATTAAAGATTTGCTTTGGGATATTAGTTTTATTGGTAAAGAAATATGAAAATTGTCACCATTAAAAGTAATGGTAATAATACTGGCAGGTAATAAAGCTCTAAGCTTTAAGAGACTTCTTGTATTTCCACAGTCTCTAAGGGGAAGAAAGTCTGCCTAAGAACAGGATGTTAGTTGAGGGATTGTGCCGAATGAAGAAAATGAATGGATGGTCGGCATTGAAATTTTCCTCTGGCACCAGCATGACAACGGTAGCAAAGCCTCCTGTGGCGGCCGCCGCCTCTGTGCCCTCCTCATTCACTTCCACGAAGGACTTGTGGATAATTTTTGATATGAAAAGATCTCTGGCCCCTGACATGCCAGACAGATCAGCTTTGCCACTGCTAAAGAGATCCTGTATGCCCAGGTGGGCTAGGGGGGAGTTGAGGTTGTAGCTCTCTTCCAGCTTGAACCTGGGCAGGTGGACACTGACGTCAACAAGATACAAATTCTCAGGCTTGGTCCACTCACGCAGTTTTTCCAAAGTCAATTGTTCCTCAATCTGGAATCAGAATGGGCAAAAAGAAGAGATGAAAATGATTTTATTAAGTAAAGTAATAAAATGTTATTTAAATGAATGGACCCATAACATCAGTTGCTAATTAGTTTCCTTCATGTTTTGTACCAAAACAGATTCCATTTGAAGGACTTCATTTCTTTCTGGCAATTGGTGATAATAGAACAGAGCTGTGTTCCAAGCCGTCAGGGGCCCAAGTATAGGGACTTCAGACATTGGTCCATCAACTATCCATTTATCCACTCACCTATCCACACACACATCCATCCATCCATCCAGGACTTACTAAGCCCCTACCACACTGGATTACTGTGATAGGCTATGACGGCTGTTATTATTACCCTAATTGGTTGAGTAGTAGAAGGGAAAATTTTAGTTACTTCTATTTATTCTATTCTATTTATTCTGGACCCCACTGATCACTATGGTTATCTGAGAACCTCACAGAGCTGAAGTAATCTCTAATAGATTTAGCTCCTAGGTAAAAATAGAAAAGGACCTAGCTCCTCACCTAAAACGGGGGTAATAATATATATTATGATAGCATTGCTGTGAACATTAAATGAGTTAACGTATATAAAGCACTTGGTACATGGTAAGTGCTACATAAATGTCAGCCATTATCATTCCTACTATTGGACTAGAACAGAACCATCACTCCCCGTGTTCTGTTGATGCTGATAGTTCCTTTCATGAGGCTAGAGACGTTCTTTTTATGATCAGAGAAGAGATGAATGTGGAAATGCAACTGAAAGAAGACCACACTGATTTCACCACATACTCTATACATGCAAATGGCTAACATCAGACCCCTTCCTGACAGCAAGTTTGGTTAGGGAGGGAGTAGAGAAAAACCACACAGCAGGCTAGGGACTCTGAAGAAAAACCACAATCTCCACAGTTTTGCCTAGTCCTAGCCCTAACAAGAGATGCCATAGCCTTTAAATTACACATGATAGAAACCTCACACAAAGTTCCTATCAGGAAATAGGCTTAGCTCACAATCTATCACGTAGCTATTGGAAATTTAATTCACAATCTATATGAACTGTGGAGACAATGAGCGGTATAATAATAGGATTTTATAGTACATGATGAAACTATACATGATAATGTTGTGGGGTTTTTAATTTAATTTTTATTTTTTTTAATTTAATTTTTTTTTTTTTTGGTGAGGAAGATTGTCCCTGAGCTAACATCTGTGCCCATCTTCCTTTATTTTGTATATGGGACACTGCCACAGCATGGCTTGATGAGTGGTGTGTAGGTCCACACTGGGATCCGAACCTGTGAACCCCGGGCCACTAAAGCTGAGCACGTGAACTTAACCACTACACCATTGGGCCAGCCTGCGGGTTTTTTAATTTTAAACAATTTATTTTAATAAAACAATCCTCGGGGCTGGCCCGGTGGCGCAAGCGGTTGGGTGCGCGTGCTCCGCTGCGGCGGCCCGGAGTTCGCTGGTTCGGATCCCAGGGGCGCACCGACGCACTGCTTTGGCGAGCCATGCTGTGGCGGCGACCCATATAAAGTGGAGGAGGATGGGCATGGATGTTAACCTAGGGCCGTCTTCCTCGGCAAAAAAAGAGGAGGATTGGCGGATGTTAGCACAGGGCTGATCTCCTCACAAAAAAAATAAAAAATAAAAAAAAAATAAAACAATCCTCATTTTACTGCACTTTCCTTTAAAGTTCATTTAAGAGAGTTTCCGTGAGCTGCCACCAGCCAATGTTACATTTAATACAGGTCTTTAGATGTTCCCACCACAACTGTGCACTGATAGGAGCTGAAAATTTGAACTTAGGGCTTTGGAGTAGTAAATGTTGATGGGCTAATTTATAAAGGAATGACAAAGAACTGGAAAGGAAAGTCAAGTAACAGCAGTAAACACGTAACAAGCACCTACCACTCAACATACACACGAGGCAGAATTGACATGTCGAAAGGACACACGGGAGCCGTACCTTCTTCAAACCCGTGGACTCGTCCTCAATGTCATCTGGCAGCAGGATAATCATGCTGAGCTCCTTGCCTTGGTAAGGCAGTTCCAGCACACGGCACTTAAGGTCCTTGATGTAGCCGTATGGAAATTTCTTCTTCTGATACATCATTTTCACTGTTTTTGTATCTTTCTGAAAAGTTGAAAAGAGAATCACTCACATATTATCTGCATTCTTTTAGAGCAAAGAGTAATTTTAGACAGCTACATCACCTCACCTTATTCAGTCGGAATGGTGCATTAGTCGTGGCCTCTTCCATGAATTTCTCCTGCCAGTTGCCTTTGAAATAGATGGCATTCACCAGCACAAGTTTAGTCATGTTATCAACCACACCTGCAGCCAACAGCTCCGGAATTTTCCCTAAAAAGATAAAGTAAGCTTTTTAAAAAATCCCCACATATCAGAATTCCAAATTTGAACTGATATTTGATTAGCACTGAAATGCAATTCAAATGCATAGTTTCTATTTAATTTTCCTTTAACATGGTATTAAGTTAGGAAAGCCCTACCAGCATGTTGCTATTTTAAATAAACCAACTAAAGGGCTAAAGGGCTAAAAACAGGAAAATTCTCCTTTTCTGGAGAGTGCGATAACCAATGAGCCTTATTTTGTCAATGGCCATTCTTTTTCAGGAAAAAAAAATATTCCTTACGAAAATGTTTTTAGTAACTGGTAGATAAATCACTTCTTCAAATCCTGTGAGTGGAAGCCTACTTTCACAAAAAAGATTTTAACAAATATCCAAAAGGTAGGACAGTTACTCCACTGAAACACAGGCTACACCAACCACCATAGCATGGCCGTGAACAATTCATTGTACAGAACTCAGGTGTTCTGTAGGGGCATTGACTCACTCCAGGACCAGGTTAGAGAGAGTCATATTGGATAAACAGCCTGAGAGAGAGTTAGTCCCACCTACCATCCCTGATTTGTTAGACAAGATATTGGCAAAAAATATTTATGACCACAGCCATTTGTGAATATTGATTCACAAGCAAGAGGATATTCCTTTCATACGTGTATTAAATAATTTGAGCCAGCTGGATTTTCCTCAAAATTTTTATTCCTTTTATTCTATATTCAATGTTAGTTTTAATTTCAAAATGTACTTTTGGGAATTTATGGGAAAAAATATTTAGCTACTTCAGTTCAATCATGTTTAAGTTTATACTTTGAGGAATTTCTCCATCTGAAAGCTGTTGAGCACTGGGCAGTGCAGAGTTCCTCCCCAGTGTCAGGATGAGGAGAGAGGGAAAGGGAGAGGGAGGCAGACGCAGGTGGGGGAGGTGGAGGGCAGAGAAGAGCCACCAGTGTGCAGTGGTGACATTCTGTTCTGTCTCTTACCTTCTGTCTGTCCTTTGACCCACTCATTTATCTCCTTCCTTGCATCTTCAGAGGCTTGCTGAAAATCCACACTGGCCAATTCAGCACCATACATTTTCTGAGTTGAAGCTAAGAAATCCTATTTAAAAAAAAAAAAAAGGAAATGTCATGGATAACTCCTACTTCATACAAAAATGATTTTCTAAAATCCTTAAAAGGAAGAGAAATCGTCCTGGCGTAAAAAAGGCATAAAGTTCACTGTACCCCCAAAAATTTCTAACCCTTATATATTTTTTTACTATGGTAAAAAAAACAAAACATTAAATTTAACCATCTTAACCATTTTTAAATATACAGTTCAGTAGTTTCAGTGTTGTAAAAAATTTACCAATTCTTTTCTAACCTTTGACTAATATTTTCATAAATAAGCAAATACTCTACTTGACTGTACTTGGAAGTGACTTCTGGAAGTCGCTCTTGCTTAGGTAAAACCGTCAGGTCAATCTTTTCACTGTGAGGACTATAAAATGAAACCACATCGATTAACGAGAATACTGTCTGCATATGTTTTCATTCTGTATCATTTTTCTGAATGTTTATAAAACTTAAAACTGACTTCTGTGAGTTGATTGTGCTGAAAAAAATCTGCACTTTCCAGTGAGTTTTAGAACGTGAAGTGCAAAGTACTTACAGGGAGGAAATTATAGGTTTTCTCTCCATATAGCCTATTAGCAAGTTTCAGAATATAGGAAGCTCCACATTTGTTGATATCAGCATTCAGATTCTGAAATCTTGAATGAATCTCCTCAACAGTATCGAAATGAAGAGTCTAAAATAAAGAAAACATCGTCTTTATCACCATTTATTTTGAAATTATAAAGTGATTCCTTTGCATTTGCTTCTATCGAATTAAATTGATGTTTTTATTACTAATTATTGAAGATCCCCAGCCCAATACTTTATTAATTTTCATTGAAGAACAAATAATAGAGAATCCAAAATTTATAGCTTTGTGAGACGTAATAATTGCAACATTAGAAACTGTTTTTACGTGACTTTTTGTTATAACTGTAGTTCCACAAATATGAGTGGTTAATAAACTAAATATTTACACAAGTCTGCTTTTTTCCCAAAGAAAATCATACATGGAATGTTCATATATATATTCTGTATCAAATATAATTTTACTGAAAGTTCTCAGAAATAAATGGTAAAAGTAAGAATCATCACCTATGCAGGAACACAAAAATAGTACCGATTGAGGGTTTTTTTTTCATTACACTATTAGCATCATGAATTCACTTATTTAAAAATAAGTTCTTTAAACTTAAGATCTGGCAAAAGTTTAATTCTCCATGTATCAGTTACAAACCAAGAGTCCCTTTATGGTTTTATGAGGCCTGGGCTGGTTCCTTGCTTTTAAGATACAAAGAACAAACCCACACAGTGTACAAAGTCCAGTTACTGACCGAGATATAGAATGTTTCCATAGTTGCTACGGTTGATCTGCTTTAATGGAAATGGGGGGAAAAAACCTTAAAACTACTCTTTGCTGAGGTCATAAAGTCTCTGGAATGCCTCAAAATAGAAGCTGATATTACCCTGCAAGAAGCAACTGACAATTAGTTCCAGGAGTAAAAAAAAAAAAGTGGATTTTTGAAAACCTTAAAATGCCTTGGTATCTGCAGTGATGAAGATGACTGGTTTTCCATAAAGTATAGTAATAGAAGCTTTGCAGCTGGAATAGTTTCATAAACTTGAGTCAGCTACGGGTGCAGTGTGTGTGGTCTGTGAGGGGTGTGTTGGAAAGACCTTCCCTTTTGGCAATCCTTTCCCCTAGGTGACAAGGAAAGCCAGAGTCCCCTCTCAGAACTGAACAATAACTAGCACACAAGTGTCCTCCACACCCGTTAGGCACAGGAGGAAGGCTGGACATCACAGCTTCCTCCCCGGCTGTAAGAGTGACCTGCCGCATCAGCACGGGCTTGGTCCTGCCCCCACACCTGCTGCGCCTCACCCCTCTCCTCTCCCTGCAGAGCCCTCCTGCTAACTCAACACGCCACGTCACAGCCCACAGAGCCACGCTTGGTGCCAGGCACAGGGCTAGGCCGCGGGAATACAGAATACACGGTCACCCTGTCCCCTCTAAAGGGCGAGGCATCTCCAGCATGGTGCGTTTCCTATGTGTCATTATGCTCAAAAGTAACGTTACATAACAGGCATTACTTATGAGTAGCAGGTCACCACATGCAGAGCAGAAACTGGAAAATCCTAGTCCGGGAGGAGGTGCTGTGGCTTATGGGAAAGCTGTCCATGATTCACCCCCGGAATAGAAGCGGCACACTGCCCCGGTTTCGTCAGCTTTCTTCACTGCTGTATCCTCAGCCAAACGAAAACCAGTGCCTGGCCCATGGTAGGTGCTCAGCAAAGACTCGATGGTGAATGGAAGCCTGCCTACAAACGGATTGTTCTTTGGGCTTTTTCTGAAAGCCTGACCTCATAACGTATAGCTACTGAACACAGAAACACGGTTTTAATAACACACCGTTAAGAGCTCAAAGGCTCCACTTTTTGGTGCCGACTTGACGTTAGTGGGGAGACAGGAGGGAGAGCAGGCTGTTTGTTTCTGCTGACCTTGGCCACCTGTGCCGCAGTACGGCCTCTGGTCCCCAAGAAGATCATGGCCAGTGCTGACGAGATGCTTAAGGGAGAGATGAAGATGTTTCCAGTAGGATTGTCCTTATTCAAAGTGCGGAACAAGTCCACCGCAAAGCGGGTGTTGGCTGTGCTCAGCTGCTCCATGGCGAAGGCTGCAACACAGAACAGAGGCCCCAGCTGCCCCGTGCCCACACCAGCAAATTAGGCAAACGGATTTCCCCACCTTTGCCTCAACTTGTGCCAACTACCCTGAAACACCCTGGAACTTGTACTTCCTCTCTCTCTCTCTCTCTCTCTCTTTTTTTTCTGGAGGGCCAGAACACTTTTCTGTGTGCACAAAGGTACATGAGGGATGACTGGCCAGATTCAGCAGGGACACAGGATCAGGCACCAGGGTATCCTGAGGGGCTCTGACCTTGCAGACAGGTGACTCTGAGGAGCAGCCAGGCCTCGCCACCTTTCCTACTAAGTTTGGGAGCACACACATTCCTGACCCTTTGGTTCAAGCCTCTGATTCACTGGGGCAGTGAATCCAATGCCCACGTTTACCTGAAACAAGAATGTTTCTCTTAGAAAATCATAGCTACCTACGGTGCATTAAAGCAAATTCCAGCAAGTAGATAGAATTATCGTCATTACTGAGATTCAGTCGCTACTGTTTAGAGACGTTAAGTGTCCCAAGTCTCACAGCTGGTGTAGGCTGTGAGAGTCTGGAAGCCCGGCACAGGTCCCAGGGTCAGGCGGGGCGGCCCGACGGCGGAGAAGGTGACAAGCATCCTCTCTCACTCCCGCAGACGGCCTTCACCTCAGCTCAGCCACCCACTGACCCACCCTGACTTGCACTCTCAGAGCCTTAGTTTCGCCACATACAGGCAAGGAGGAAGAACAGTTGTGCGGGGTGCCTAGCGTGTAGGCAATCAACTGAATGATTCGTGTCGTTGATAAATAACCTCTAGGGTGGCACCGACCTCCTTTCCCTTGCAGCCGCAGGAAGGAGAAGCAGCTGGGCCCAGGGCTGCCTGGAAACGGCCACAAACAGCCCTGGGAGGGAGTTCAGGGAGCAAGCCAGACATTCTGATCTCAGGCTGCGGTTCTGCCTCCAGCCGCCACGCCCCGACCTCCGTCCTCGCAGGCCGGCCTGGCCTTGCCTAGCGCCCCGGACGCGGTGCGGAGGCCCGGGGGTCGC